GATGAGGTATCTCTTAATAGATGTGGCTTCCAAAGCTTTCCACAATTTCGCTAGAGGTACTGAATCATAGGCCTTGTGTAAATCTACAAATATCATATGGAGTTCTGGTGTTTTGAGAAAAAATGTCTTAATGGAACGTTCTCTGATTCAAAACCTTTTTTTTTTTTTTTAATGAAATTTACAACTGTATTACATGGAAAATACAATAAGTAAATGTGACATTGCTAACATGACATGTGCAACATGAAGAGAAACAACCCATTGGTAGAACTCAAATTAAAGTTCTATATTACAAGGTCCCGAGGCCATCTTCTTTTCAGACGCCTCGAAGGGTTATCAGGGATCGAGGAGGAAGCAAGGTTTGAAACGAGAGGATTCGGATGGTTCTGCAGTTTGTTATAGAAGAATAGGTATCTGGATTGGGCCAAATCGCAAAACATATGGAACATTAAGGTCTTTATGGATGATTTTATTTGTGACAAAGTAAGGAGCGTTGAGAATTTTACGAAGGATTTTGGATTGTAAGGATTGGATACGAGAGGAATTCGATGGTTTAGTGGAGCCCCAAAGCTCAATTCCGTAAGTCCGAATAGGTCTTATTATTGTGATATATATGAGTCTTTTGTAATTGAAAGCTTAGAGCGTTTGTCTAGTAAGTGCTGCAGTAGTCGAAAACGTCGGGGGGTTTCTAGTCGTTTCAGTCTGGTATGGGGGTTCCAAGTGAGTCGTTTGTCAAGGTGGAGTCCTAAGTATAGGATTTGTTCGACAGGAATAAGAGGGCTATTGTTCAAGGATACTGTAGGACAGGAAGTCATAGGTTTATGGCGAAGAGTGAAGGTAATTTGATGGGATTTATTGGAATTTATTTTAATCCTCCAGTTTTGACACCATTTTTCAAGACTTGTGAAGTGTGATTGAAGAGTTTGGGATGCAATAGATGGATCGTTATTAACTGATAGGATACACGTGTCATCGGCATAGGTGGTGATTCAAAACCAAATCTTTTATTCCGTTTTTTTTTTTAGTAATAAATACCATAGTCCCATCAAATTAGACATGTTTCCTTGCAAAAGTTCGGGTAATTCAAATTTCTTTTTCATATTGTTAGGTATGCAGTGAATATAAAAAATCCAAGTTTTCGCCCTAGAAAGCCTTGTGGGTTCGCTGCAGTGCTTCAAATGCCATTGAAATTTCGAACTTTTTTTGGTTTACGCTAAATATCTCCTTTTTAGAGCAACACGGATAAAAAATGGTTATATTCAATCTTAAGTAAATTAAAATTACCTAACATTGAGCTTTGAAAATTTAACCATTTTGATTTCTTGACAATACTGCTTTTTTTTTGTACGCGAGAATTCTGCTACTCCATTGAATCTGGTCCAGAGAATCGGAAGGTTTTTCGTGAAGGTAATCAGCCAAAGAAATTGACTGGAGCGGTAGACGGTATTCGGAAGGTGTTTTGAAAAGTATGATACCCGGTGTGCCAGACCCCCCTACCGTGCACTCTTCCCTCACATTCTAATAAATTTCATATAGTTGTGTTCCTTGTACCTATATATATATAAAAAAAAACAATGTTCTCATAGAAAAAGTGGTCCAAAAAGTGCGTTTAGGCACATTGACCTCTTAGAGGACTCATTTCCAGCCTGCAGGGCCATTTATAGTAATTTGTCTCATTTTTTTACAAACTTGGTAAAATTTAGCGTTCGTTAAGCGTGGTTATCGACCATACCGCTTAACAAAATTATTAAGTTTAAGTGCTCTCTCGAAGCAAAATTTAAATTTCTTTAAAAATACACTTTTTGCTTCGATGCACTTATAGATGAAAATCAATGTACAACAGACTCCTTCCGTATGTTGAACAGAAACTGGGTGATTATCAAGGTGGTTTCCGACCCAATAGGTGTAGTATTGGTCAAATCTTCACCCTGAGGCAAACCTCTGAGAATATGAAGGAATATCAGAATACAACTTGGATGCTGTTCATTGATTTTCGGGCTGCCTACAATACAATTGTAAGGAATGAACTCATATTTGCCATGCATGAACTGGGCCTGCCAAGTAATCTAATAGATTAGTAAATGCATAGTGGTGAGCAAAATCTGCCCAGTAAAACCCTGTGAGTTATCAAAGCCTTTTGCAGTGAAATGTGGCCTAAGACAGGGAGACCCAATAGCTCCTGTTCTGTTTATCATCGCTCTAAAAGCAATCATAAATAAAGCAGGACTGAATCAGTAAGGTACAATATTTAAAATGACCCAGGTTCTGGCCTATGCAGACGACGTCGTCGTCATCGGTAGGTCCCTTCAGAGCATCAGGATGGCTATCGAAGCGATGTATGTCGAAGCAAAAAAATAGGCCTGCATATTAATGGGAGAAAACAAAGATTATTGTATTGGGTAAGAAATCATTGGATCAGAGGTATAGTCGCTTTGTAATGGGCTCCTATGATTTCGAAGTGGTCAGAAGCTTTTCTAACCTTCGCTCTATCATCAAAGATAACCAGAATGAAAAGAAGAGGTTAACAACAGAATCGCAGCAGGAAATATACCCTATTTCTCCATTTTGAGGCTAATCAAAAACAAACTTGTTAGCCGTACCACCAAGTTTATGCTGTACAAGACGCGGATGAGGTGAACCGTAATACACGGTGGAAAAACGTGTAACCTAAGCAACAAAAGCAGTAACCTGCTAGACAGGTTTGAAAAGGTAATTCTGAGGAGAATCTTAGGGTCCGAATGCGAGAAATGTAATTAGCGAAGAAGAAAAAATAGTGAACTGTTTAAACTTTGCAAGGAATGTAGTTTAAACAGTTCACTATTTATTAAGCCAGCATCTCCTCGTATATATGGATACTGAGGCTTGAGTGGCTTAGCCATGTAGTGAGGATGAGCTAGGACAGAGAGGCTCATAAATTGTACATTAACGTTCCGGATGGTGTACACCAAGGCGGAAGACCGAAGAGTCGATGGAGGGATAGTGTGGGGCAGGATCTGCAGGATTCACATTGCACACTGCAGGATTCACACTATTTACAATAAATAAATAGCAAAATAATAATACTAAAAGTAAATGTATATAAACTAAAACCAATTAAAGTATATATTAATTTCAAATAAAACCGCAGATGGTGGCAGTATCATCATGCATACCTATATATATATATATATATATATATATATATATATATATACACGCTCATTTGCAAATGAAGTGAATTATTCAAAATAAGATGAAAAAAACACTTTATTCTTGTTTACCGACTTTGATTTTTAAAAGGAAATTTAATTTAACATGTTTAGAAGTAATAAATAAAAAAATTGCTAAAAGATAACTGTTTAAATTGTTTTTTGGGGGTTATTAAGTACTGTTAGAAATTAGAAAATAAATGGAGTAATAAAACTCTGAAAAATTGCATTAATTTTTCGTTATAGTACCTTATTGATTCTCCTCAATCATAAAGTACTGCCTAAAGAAGATGAGCCATAATAGCATTTTGATGCTTTCTTAAGGGATCGTCTCCCGTTCCTCCCATTACTGGTGATAAGATTCTGTCTAAGTAACGCTGAACAGTCATAGTCTCATTTCGTAACACCACAACCTCTGTTCAAAAGTATACAGGATATACCACCCCACACTGCAATTGTGCTTTCTCCAATCAGGGAAACAGGCAAGACCAGGGAATGATTGCATCGTTCACCAAATCTTCTGGCTACTCTTGCTCGGTTTGAATACAAACTTAAATCCATTTGTGAAAAGGCAGTTATTCCAGGCACGATCAATCCATGATATGTAAATCCGAACGAATTGAAGTCTTTGAACTTTATGTCGTGGGGTTGGTCGTGGAAAGCGCAGAGGTCTTCTTCAGTTCAATCCATGCTCTATTATCCTTCTTCTAACTGTAATAAGGCTAATGTAAACATTAGAAGCAGAAAACAGATCATCAGCAAGCCTTCAGTAAGTATTGAAGCGATTCCTTCGTGCTTAACTGACAATTGTCGGTCTTGTACTGTCGTAGTTCTTTAACGACTTCCATGTGTATATTCAAACGGACCACTGTGCTGGTAAAGTCTCCATGCGCGACTTACCACACATTGTGAGGCAAGTAGGTTTACTACCACATTTCTTTGGGCATCGCCTCCTTCCAAAGTAGCAACAGCTGTTGCAAGCTCTACTGCTGAAAGACTTCGTACAGAAATTCTTTAGTATCCAGAAAAACTTTTGAAAAGAGTTAATAAAAAATACTAGAAACGATTATTGCAAAAAAATAGGTTTACGAGAAATAATGTGAAGTGGACACAAGCAATAAACGAAATAAACTGAAGATAATCTCCTCTTTTGTTTCTGATTCAAAGAGTTCATTTCAAAGGAATTAGCCTATTGCGAGTATAAGCAATCAACAGGTGTCAAATGTTGATTTTATAAACAGTTAATGCAATGATATATTAAGAATGTCTCTTGAAGTTATGTTATCAGCCATAGGATCCTTTTACTATATTATTTTTTAAAAATATTTTATATGAGTTATATAGACAACGTAGTTTATTTAGTGGTGATAGGATAAAGCGAAGAAACAATGGAATCCGATGAAAAATAACGGAGCTATAGAATTCTGAATAGAAAAATTCAAGTTTGGGACCACTTCGCGTTCGTTTAAAGTTTTAGTTCTCTATTTCGGCTCACAACTTTTAATTATTAAGAATAAATTAACGATAGGTTAAAAATTTGACCACTGTTAATCGCAAATTTTTCCACAATATAATAATCAAAATACAATTCACACGATTGAAATAAAATAAATTGCACAAAAGCAAAATTATCAATTGTCCTTCTATCTAATTCTTTTTAATTTACTGTTTAAATAATTACAAGGAGAAGCAGAATAAATTATTTAATTTATATTAAGTTAAAAGTTATATTTGCAATGTTGATCGTATAACTGACACTTTATACCTCTAGAACTTGAACATTTTATACTCTATGCAATCTACCGCTGAGTAGGGTAACACACCCATATTGCTTGAATTATCTGTATGACTCAGGTGTTGAGTTGATTTTGGTTCATTCTGTACTGAATATCTAGGATGACCTCTACGTTAGATGGTATTAAGTCCTTTTCTGGAGGTTCTATTAATCACAAAATGAGCGGTAATGAGATGGAAGAACTAAAAGAACAATTTACTGCTGTGAGTGTTTTTAATTTATTTGTTAAGTGAAATTCAAGTGATTGACATGTATAATGACTACTTTAATTTTAAAATTTGATCATGTTATACCATTTTTCTATGGAATTACGTTTCAGTAAAGTATTGTTTTATATCTATTTTGAGTATTTCTTTGCTGAAGTTCATTGTTTGGTATTTTATATATAATGAGACTTTCATTTATGTTGAGTTAATCAGTGCTGTCAAGATTTGAGTTACTATTTTGCTTAATTCTTGTCAGTTATGGTGTATTCCCTTTTATTTAAAAGGGGATTGAGGGGGGTTGGGCTCTAAAAGTAAGGTTTTAGGATTTACTTAAAATTTATTGATAAGTATTAAATTTATTTTTGGAATAATTTCTTCTATCGATGGACCTGGCCTGATTTGTTAAAATCGCTACTTGCTGGGTATAAACTAAAATAATATCAACGATATAATAGCATTTAAAATTGATCATTACTTCAGGAACTTGTAAATTGTATATGCAACATATATATATCAAGTAATAATTGAAAACAAAAGCATGCATTAATGAAAAAATCATGTTAAAACATACATATAAATCATTCTAAAGGTGTATTAAATGTTCTTGAATGTAACATTACAGCTAATGAGTAATGATAAGTACAGTGATACTGGCTTAGATGATAATGGGTATTTGCGCTTTGAAGTCAAACTAACAAACAGTGACAACTTATTAAATTTCAAGTAATAAAATATTAAGTTACTCAAAAAATTTAAGACAACTCTTAGAGATAAAGTAGCATATCAGGGTAATTCCTTACCAAATTTATCATAAATACTGGTCTCTAACACCAGTCATGTCTTATATTGGTGAAATTTATTAAACTTAATCCTTCGACTTTGGTGAGATTATATACCAAATTTTATTCTTTTATCCCAACATTTTATTTTATTAGACCCACCGAAAAACAAAAATCTTATGTTTTTTTTTTTATCTTGGAAGCCCTCAGAGAAACTTACTTGCCTAGTTAAAAATGATTATACTATTGTTATTTACTAAATAAACGTCTTAAAACTTTCAGCTCATATCTATCAGATAAGCTGATTTAAAAATAAAATCAATAATGAATGTATGATGTTTAAAAATATATGGAATGGAGTATTGACAATCACATTCACATAAGAACAAACTTGTTCTAACAATTTTTTTTTATGGGAGAAACACTCAATTATAGATAATATTAAAATTTTTATATTCCGTATTAGTTATACAATGTAGGATACAGACAAACTTTTAGTTTTATGTAAGATTTATATTACACCAGTGCTTCAATTTAATCACTAATACTTGATTCATAGCATCATGATTATCGGTTGTGTTTTTTAATCTTGAATACTACGTGGATTGTTGATTATTGTAGGTTGGGAACATAAAAATATTTATGAATAAAAATTGAGTTTATTTTGATATTTATTGACTAAGAAGAAGTGAAGGCTTTGGCCAACAGCTGAAACAGTTCTTTAAGTCAGTTCATACGGTTATTAGTATATAAGAAGATGTGAAAGTGGTTGGGACTTAAACTCTCCACACCTAAGCTAACATAAAGATTCTCTTAGCATAAGTATATCTACTTTTGAACACTCACATTGTTTTTGGGACTCCCATCTATAGAGTGCTAAAAGTTATATTGAAATTGCCTTTTATAACTTGCCCCAAAGTGGTATTTATTAAGTTATACTTCGAAGAAAAAAAATATTTTTTCAAAAGGGATAATCTGGTTACTCTATTTCATAATGAGTTTTATTATTATTCGCAAAAAATAAGTGTGAAGTCTTCACCTGATCCATAATACTTTTTCTATTACCCAGAACTGCTTGATTATCCCATTACAGCAAGCAATTTCAACCTCTATGAAGAAGAAACTTCCCAAATGCAAAACTACGTTTCCATTAAACATATATCATATTATTGTTTTTAAAAAAATGTTTCATAACAGTCTCACTTATATCACTTGTAATTTGCTTTCTTTACTGGTAAATTTCTTTAGGATGTTGCTACAAAACTAGTCAAAGGCTCCTACAGACAGAATGCGGTATAATATTTCTGTCAGCGGCTTTATGGCGATATAGTTGTATTACATTTTATTCTACTATTACAATCACACAGAGTGCGATAATCTACAGTGATACTGACAAAGGGATATCTTATCGCCGGGACATATCACGTTCTGTGTGTAGGAACCTTAAAATTTTTATTATTTTTTTTTTATAGTTTATCATGGGTGTTTGCTCGAATACATCCTAAATTAAGAATCAGAAAAAATGTTAAACAGTAATAAATCTGCCTTTGAACGAATTTGTACTAGAGAGAACTACAATAATAATGTGAAAAGGAGTTAATCGGGGGGGGAGGGGGGTGCGGTCAAATAAATACTAAATTAAAATATATTAATTATTTTAATTTTTGCCGACGTTTCAACCTACTTTGCAGGTCGTCTTCAGGGCGTGGGATGTAGCACTGCGGGAGGCAGTTGAAACACTGGCAGTGTAAAAAAAAGCTCTAGTGAGCAGTGACAATAATAATATTGCACGGCTGCTCAACTATGTTGAGTTGCTAAACCACACAGCATTCTCATCAATCAACCGATAATATTGAAAAAGATCCAAAGAGAGTTAGGTCGGGTCATTGAAATACATAACAAATATGCCAAGATCAGTATATGTGGGGATGGAGGATTCCTAAAGAGTCTAAAATAATAGTTTTTTGTCATGGTCTGCATCTGCTCCCTTCTAACACCGAGCCTCTGCAAAAAACTACTTTTAGTGCGAAGGATGCTTTTCCTACTTCTGAATCATAGCCCTTTTACTGAGCTAAATTCATCTCTATTCCTTTCCTTCAGGTAAAGTATGGATTTTGTATAAATTTCCTCTTTCTCCGCCTGTACCTTGAAGTCCTGATCCTGGTCGTTGGTCTCAAATCTGATCATGGGATCCACTATTAGTGCCTCTTTTCCTTAGTATTGAACGCAAAAATATCGACGAGCCTTCTGTATCCAGGCAATAAACTTCAAGGAACATTTATAGTTCTTCATTTAATGGAACTCGGCTGTAAGATGCTTTACATTATTGCGATAAGGAGCATTTTATGCTGACAATTTCCCTACACATGAGCTGAGGTTTTTGACCCTCGGCCATGTTTGCAACGAGGGCTCCATCATCTCCATTAACCTGGCTTCGGGCTCCTGGTACTCTGTGGAGAGGAGCGTAATTAATATTTAATTTCATGGCGTTTGTCCATTCTGAGCTAGTAAAAACTTTTCTATCATAAATGAATTTATTGGTCCCTGGATTAGATTTAAAATGAGAAACACCAATTCCCTGCCACTTGCATTTGCTCCTCTCTTCAAAGGACTTTTCCCTCAGGTACTGTCTTAGCTTCCTAATTGTTAGCAATGGTACTATCTATTTCCTATGCCAGTTAAATTTACTTGATGTGCTGGAACTTACAACTTGTTAACAATTACTGAGCTTTAAAAACTTGACTTTGTTTTTTTTTTTTTAATACTTTTAGATTTCTTGTATGGTTGATATTATTTAATTAAATTGATTTCATTACTGAAATTTTGGATTTTAGTGAGATATTTGTGTTCACGATTAAGAGAAACAAAAATAAATTTCATGAGTCAATATAGATAGATAGATAGATAAATATTTTATTTGTTTTAAGGGGGTTCCCCATACAAATAGAGCCTAGCTTGGCTATTGTACCATAAGATGGTTTTACAAACTTACATACATATAAATCAAATTTACAATATTTAACGTTTAGGAATGGTTTTCACAAAATATGAATAGCAATAAAAATTAAAAACATAAAACGATTACTTCATAATATTGATTATATGAACCAGTTACTATGATAGAAACAATACAAAATAAAAATATTTATAAATATAAACAAAATATTACTCTTAAGATAAACTAAAAACAAATGCTTAATAGAACATGGCTATGATCAACAATTTTGTGTATGCACTTTGTGAACTCCCATCATAAAATAGTAAACTTTATTTAATTTATCTATACAATCGATATTCAGTATGGAATCGACGTTGCAGTTATCAGAAGATTCTGAGATGAAGTTTCGAAGGAATTTTTGTCTATAGTCATTGTATGCTGGGCAGTGAAGGAGAATGTGATGTAGACTATTGTGGATAAATTGACTGCATAATATACAAATTTCTTGAGGCTCAATCGAAAAAGTTGTGGTTTTTGCATAAATTCTGATTTGTTCTGGGTTCACAACTCTTAATTGACTGACACATCTCAATTTCTTTATGTGGACTTTGAATGTAAGATACGTTTCAGGATCGGGAGCATTGTAACTGCATAGCATTCTGTATAAAGGGTAGTTAATGGAGTTTAAAGTTCTTTGTATGTCGGCTGAAAAATAATGGTTGTGTGCTTTTTCAAGGATGTCGTCTTTGTATCGAAGAAGTCCGTTTGTGTGGTGAACAGAAAGCTCTTCTGCAAAGGCATTAAGTTCGGCTATTGCTCTAAATTGAGACACCCAATTGAATTCTATGTCAGGCTTATCCTTATCTAATGTTTTAAGTCTATTAAAACATAGTTTCGGGAGTCGCTCTTCTGGCATGAACTCGAGCTTGGTCCATAGATTTATCATCTTTTTTATTACTTTCATTCTTAATGGTTCTCTTCCTGTTTCAAGGCGGATTATGTAGTTTGGGGTATTTCTGGGCCAACCAAACAGTTGCTTTAAATATTTAAGTTGGACCGTTTCGATTGCCTCAAAATAATTGGGGCTTCATATTTCAGAAGCATAAAGCAATGTTGATGAGACCATGGAGTCAAATAACAATTTTTTACTTTCCAAGGAGTCACTTTTCCCTTTTTTTAATATGTCTATGAGTCTCGCAGATGCTACTGATGACTTCTGAGTAAAATGTTCACATGCTTGTTTAAATTTTCCTGACGTGAAGGGAACTCCCAAATAAGTA